TAGCACAAGCTGATCTTTTGGTCCGACTATTACGAGCCTTTAACAACTGGAGGTTGCAGGTTGAAGAAGCTTCAATGAATAGAGGTGCACATCTCATTGCACATAGTGCTATTCGTGATGATCGAAGAGACTCTTATGTGGTAATAGGAGCTCCTCTTTGGTTGAATGAATTTTTTGTGAATGAGAGTGTTTTAGCCTCTTCTTAGTGAAGCTGTATAGATAGCTTTTTGGTGTTACATTTCTATGGGTTGTGAGACATTTAGCTTTGTCTCCTCATTTTAACCGGGATTGTAATTGGCGGGTATTTAGGAATTCTGATTTGTAAGACATCAGTTTCTTTAAAAGTTAAAATAATTATTCCAGATGGAAAAAAAAAATAACTGATGGATACTAAATTTGAGGTCAAAAGCTCACCCCCCAAATAAGTCTGGGATTATTTGGTTCAACAACCATAAAAAAAATTTAAACCTACTGTGGGAGTCGAATCTGCACAGTTAAATTTGTCAATGGTGTTTGGAGACAGAGAACTCTATGTCGCGGACACACTTCGAACAAAGACTGAGAATAAGAATTCTTTATTATTGTTTCTGTTAAGCTTTGACTACAAGAGAGTTTCTCTGCCAAAAGTTCTGAACCCCTTTTTTGGGTGAGTACAATGAGATATATATAGTGTTTAAGTAAATTGACCAACTAATAAAATAGGCTTGACCCATTAAGCAATATATCTAATTTAGGCCAATAATTTCATTAAGTCCATTTGATGATGGGTCAAATGTCATTTTGGACCTAGAATCAGACTGAGCCCTTGTAGACTTGATCCGATTTCGTCAGGATGTTGCAGAGTTAATCTCGTCGTTATATCGATCTCATAGGGGAGAATTCTGGCCCCTACAGTTAGCCCCCCACCTCGGTATTATCGAGTTACGATGATGCCGAAGTAAAAGTCTCTGAAATCTGAGATCGATATGTTGAACTGCGAAATTGCCAGGCGTGGACGTCTTATCATCGAACTCGGGAAGTTTACGTTACTCCGCGTTGAGTCGATGTGAGCGTGTTTTCCTGGACTTGCTTTCTTTTTCTTTTACTTGGAAGATTGATGGAGTTGATGGTCTTATTGCGTTAGTGGGGCTTGAGGCTTGTTGGAAAATTTCTTGAATTTTTTCCAAAAAATAAAGTGATTTTAGGAAATATAATAAGTTTGCTTCC